AAACTTTTTAATTAAGTTAAATATCTATATAATATTGTATTTTAATTTCAAAAATTATGTTTATATTTTCTTTATTTTTAACTATGTCATTGAAATATGTTGGTTAAAAAAATTAAAATTATTATAAAAAGAACAAATTTCATGAAAGAAAAAAAATAACGTACTTTAACTTGATTTCTATTTCGGTTTAACGTATTTTCAAATTTTCAATTTTGGTACATAAGATGTAAAGTTCCAAATATTTAGGTACCTAGGTAGGTAACTGGTTGAAACATTAACCAATTACCATGCTGATGTAACGAGTAATTGTAATATCCAATTCAGTATTATTTACTAAACCATTAACCATATATAATTTAAAAGAACAGAACAAAAGCAATCATTTAAATTATTATTATTATATAAAATAAAAGTAGTCGATGTGGGTGGTTGGGTTATTTGAAATTGAAAGGGACATGTAATGTAAGTCGGCAGGCATCACTTGGAAACAATTTGCAAGTTTCACAAGGAAAAGCTGAATGAGGTCTCAATTCATTCTCAAAAAGTGCATTCATTCATTCATGCACCACATGTTTTTCTTCGCTTCATTTCCTTTTCTTTATTTAATCATTACATTTCGACTAATTTCAGGGTTCCTGAGAACAGATTGTAAAATTCTCAGTGGTTTTTTAAAAACTCGAACTGATGAGAATAAGAAAACAGTAACGTCACGTGTGATTTTATATTAAAATCGCATGTAAAAGCACACGTGATTCACACAAATTTAAGTCGCTGGCCACGTCGCCTGCACACCTTTATGTTGAATGTCGGTGCAAAATCACATGTGATTTTGCACGTGATTTAACCGTTTTCGTGTTTTTTTTATTTACTTGTCGTTCTCTTTAGAACTTTCCTCCCTCTCTCTCTCTCTCTCTCTCTCTTTATGAAATTAAATAGCGGCTTTTGGTTTAAAAGAAATCAGATAAGTCTTCATTAAGCTTAGTTCACACGTCTATACAAGTCAAGCTCTAAACACGTGTGTAATTGGACCCCAAATTTTTTGGAGGCCGTATATAAAAACCCATTTTTAACATGGTAAAAGACTACCATAATGAATTGAATGTAAGATATGATAAGAACTGTTGTCAAATATGTGTGAGTTTTGAGTTGTCCGGACAAATTTTTTTTGTATTTTTCTGACCTGATTTTGAGAATTTGCAAGTAAAAAAGGGTAAACATCATCCCTCGCAGCGTTCCATCGCATTGGTCCTACAGTTATCATGAGAGAGGTAAACCGCGTATGCAAAAGGCAAAAGGTGATGCCTAGACTTGAACCCAAACTGTAACTGTTGTTTGTTTACAGTTCAATAAATTCAACTGTTTGAAAGACTTATTAGTTCACCTATCTATATGTTTGTTTATGACTTATTCAATAAGCAAATGGGTTTAAAAGAATTTATTGTCTATATTAACCTATCATTTTTTCCAATCATTCTCAATTCTAAAAAGACCTCAGATAAAGAATATAACCAGAAAGTTCAATAAGAGTATTATAAATTGTACTATCAGTGATCTGTTACAACAGACTGACTCACATTCGCTCTTACAACTCATAACCCATAAAGCCATCCCAAGATTTCGTTCAACTCTGGGAGTCAAATTAATCGGTGTTTCTTGCTTCGGCGAGTTAGTCTTTTCACAACTAGCTACCTCTCTTCGTTTTTTTTATTAACCTAGATATCCAACCCGCTATGCGAGCCGACTAATCCCAAGACGACCACCTGCTTTGCAGATAGCCCGGAGTCACCATATTTGAACCTCCGTGGCCACAAAGGGATTTTTATTTCTCCTTGGATTTGAACCTGGAACCTCCTGGTACTTTTGACCTTTGGAGCCAAGCTCAAACCAATCAGACACCACCCTTGTGGTTCTCTCTTCACTTTTATGTTTACATCAGATAGTTAACGGACTTTTTCGACAAAATTCTTGTAACAGACAACCAAATATATTTAGAACTGTATAATTATTACACAAACACCAAACCTTAAAAAGAGTTGTAAAACCAACACATTTATAATTCATTCCCATTTCTTCAAATTACAAAATCTAGAAAGGAAGTGAATGTGTTCTACTTTGGGTATAAATAATGCCACCATCAAGAATTCTTGCATCTATTGGCACTTACCCATTCTATTACCTCAACCCTCCTTTGCCCACACAAAATTGTACCCATTTTGCCCTTCAAATTATGTCCCATTTCAAGACTTGACCCATTGCAACTTGATACACAAATAAGTTCTTGAACTTTGTCTTTAACTTGGGTCATCATCCTCCGAATGCCGCGATATGTACTTTGCACTCGAACGACAGAATAAATCTATCGTCATCAAATGCAGTACGTACTCGGGGTTTTGCAAAATATCTCACATCGGAAAGGGCTTTAGTGTGTACATGAACATGTCTTGTAATGGAGAGAGTTGATAGTCGTTGTAGTACTGAGATGGAGGGGTAAAACTGTCATCTGGAAACGGGTCTATGTAATTGAATTGAAAGTCCTTCTTTTGAGGGTCGCTTTGGACCTCTTTTTCGTGTTCTGGGCTTGAGTCTGTATGTAAAGTTGGAACTGATTCCGATGTATCAAAATGGAACACGTCATTCATGACGTGATGGGGGACTGATGATTGCGGATGGAGCGGTGGCACAGGCGTGTAGGGTGTAATTTTGGGTTTTGTTTCGACTTCCATTTCCGAAAATTGATTATCAACGACATGATGCTTCTCGAGAGTGCCTTTCTTGTTGTATATTCGACATAATACCCAATCGTCTAACTGCAAAATACAAATACAAATAATTATTAATATCTTAAATTTCTCAAAAATATCGATTTTCGCAAATAGATCATAAACAAAATAAGGGGTTGTTTGTTTGATTTTTCATTAAGTTTTATATGGATAAAGATACATCATTAATTTGTCTGTGTAAATTGAAAAAGTTCTTTTTATTGGAGAGTTTCCTAATAAAAACATGTTTGGAAAAATTTGGCTTTCTGCATAAAGCTATTTTAGAAGCTTATTGGATAAGCCATTTTCTATATCATCAAGCCAAGCCACTACCGAACAATCATGTATCCTGCTAAGCTGCTAACAAACAAACTCTAAACCAACCCAGTAAATCCCATCAAAGCACGGTCAGAAATAAAGTACATATAAACTTCTACCTAAAAAACAGAGCGGTTGTTTTCATGAAAAACTGATCACAATCGTATTTAAACTTCATGAGTGAAAGAAAAGTACCCGTAGATTATTGTTACGCTTGCTGGCGGATCGATCTACGTTAGCGAGGCGGTATTCGTGCATTATCCAATTCGTTTTCACCCCACGAGGCGCTTTTCCGGCGTAAAACACCAAGGCCTTCTTGATTCCGACCGGTTTTGGTTTTCCGATCGGTTTATCAGCTCCGGTGGCCTTCCAATAACCAGTTCCGGCAGCTCTGTTCGGCCGTGATCCATTAGGATACTTCCGATCTCTAGGCGAGAAGAAATACCACTCCTTTTCTCCATACAAAGCCATATCTATCGAAATCAAAAATCAAATCTCCATCAGATCCAGATTACAGAGACGGTTTTCACTTTTCAATTAGGGCAAAAAAAAAAACACAATCGGAAAACAAAATCGAGAAGCGGATTTCAGAAATTTACCAGGAAGTTGCCATGGATCGAACTTGTATAGATCAATCTCGGCGATTATCGGAACGGAAATCGGCTGAGATGCGCATTTCCGACATAGGTAATGCATAACCAATTCTTCGTCCGTCGGGTGGAATCTGAACCCCGGCGGCAATTCCAAATTATCACAAGTCATTCACGGTAACGATTACTTCTCCTTCTAAACCTCGATTCCTCGATCTCCGATTTGGTTTTTTTCTCGTTCAAAACACCAGATCTGATTGTCGTTGTTTTCGGGTAGGGTTTTCAGCAGTTCGAAGATGAAGATGGAGCAATGGATATATATACATATATATGTATATGTATATATAGAGAGAGAAAGAGAGAGCACGTGGAGGATTGAATCTGGAAGTGGAAAACGTGGGTTCGAGGAAGGAACGAGCAGGAGAGAGGATTGTTGCTTGGATAAGAAGGTTTGGGGATTCACGGAGAAATTGACCGATTGGAGGCTGTGTGTCGTTATCTATGAAAACTGTAAAACAAGGTGTGGTGGTGGTGGTGGTGGCGGAGGAGGGCGAATGAGAGGGAGACACGTAGGTGGTCGGACCCATCTCCGGCGAGGAGGATGGTGTCACTGCGTTCGTCATGTGGTTTGGACGGATTCGGTCAGGGAGAAAAGTCGGCTGACACGAGGCGTGGATCGGTGTCACTTTGACTCGTGTCTGGTTTTCGTCATCAACCCACCTCAATCTCCTTCTCATTTATTAATGGGAAATTGGTGGAACCAACGTTTCTTTTGATTGCTCTCCTAATCAAAAGCTCATATTTTTTTTTCTTCCTCCAAACGATGATGTTATTTGATTATAAAAAATAAATATCAGGATATTTTTTAAAACATCATAATTAATTTATTGGTTAGTTTATTATTTTTCATATATGAGCTATTGTGTTTAAGTTTTTTATTGCAAATCTATTTTAAAAACATAATAAATCTGAAATTAAAAACTAAAAACTAAGAAAATGATACTAATGGAGTTTCGAACTCGGGTGTGGAATGAAAAATTACCTTGTATACCAACTCTACCAAGGATAACTTGGGTAACGTACTTTTAGAATTTCCATTTTGATGAACCAACTTTTAAAATCATACTTTCAAAACTTCCATTTTGGTGTTTAAGATCTAAAGTTTTAAACATTTAAGTACTCGGTAACTGGTTATCATACTGATGTGCTGAGTGATGGGATGAAATTGGGTTGAATAGCAAATAATACTGAGTTGGATAACACATCATTCGTCACATCAACATGGTAACCCGTTAATGCTTTAACAGGTTATCCGGGTACTTAAATGTTTAAAACTTTACATCTTAGGTACCTAAATGAAAGTTTTGAAAGTACGTTAGCAAAAATATGAATCAAGTTAAAATAAGTTAATTTTTCATGCAATTTACCCTAATAAAAATATTATATATGTTTTAAAATAAAAATAATTTAAAAAAAATATTAAACTAATATTTTATATATAATTAAAAATATATATTTTATTTTTCATTATTAAAATTTTAATACCTTTTCTCTAGGTTTTTGTTAGTTGTACTTATTTGAAAATGGATTTCAATCGTTAAAACGAATATGACGTTGTATTTTGACTGAAATACCCTTTTAACGTTTTCTTCGCATCTTACAAAATAATTATAGACTTAAATTAGTTTTTGTAATAACGACACTTACCAAACAAATATTCAATTTTATGGGTCGTTTATTAAACGTTTATCTACTAACTATTTAAAAAGTAATTTTCTTTATCTGATGAACATGGCAAGGGTCAAAAATCTTACTCGGTAAGCGCGATGATAAAGATGAAGAGTCTTACTTGGTAAGTGAGGGTGACGACTCTTGCCCGGTTAAGTGCTTACCAGGTAAATTGTTGCATACGCTACCATTTTAATTTACTACAATCTAATCCAATAAAATAAATTATAGTGTTGACTCCTAACAGTAAGTGTTTACCGGTTAAACATTTTCTTTTCATTTATTTGTATTTTCTTTTATATTCTATTTTCCATTTCCTCCAACGCTACACGACTTTCTGGATTCCTCCCAAGTGATGTATCTAGTCCAGAATTGACGCACCTCTGGTGTACCAATTATTGTGCCCACCATAAACGTTGGGTAGCCAAGTGCGGAGTGGATAACTGCTGATGGTGTGCGAATGACTTGACCAACTACCTAATTAGTCACATCAAAGGTCGTTTGCATCTCTGATTTACTATCACATGTGTATCATATTTGATGGAATACGGTATTACGTAAAATCCTACATCGGTTGGGGAGGGAAACAAAAGTTTCCATATAAGCGACTGGATACCTCCTATATCGTACGCGTTCTAAAACCGTGAGTCCAGGTGTGTGGACAAAACCGACAATATCTTGTATAGTTGGTCTCGGATGTTACAGATGGTATCAAAGCGGGAACCCGATTGGTACGTCAACGGGGACGCTGGGCTTCTAAGGAAGGTGGCTTGTAAGATCCCACATCAGTTGGGGAGGAAAACAAAAGTTACTTTATTAGAGCATCTCTAATGAACTTATCTAGTCCAATTTTTGGAGGTTGAAGTGCTCCAATCGTCCGACAAAATGACAAAATTTATGCCGCCCAACCACAAGGGTGGTGCCTGATTGGTTTGAGCTTGGCTCCAAATGTCAAAAGTAACATGAGGTCTCAGGTTCAAATCCAAGGAGGAATAAAAATCCTCTTGTGGCCACGAAAATTCAAATGTGGTAACTCCGGGCTATCTGCAAAACAAGTAATCACCTTGGGATTAGTCGACTCGAATAACGGATTGGATATATAGGTTAATTAAAAAAAAATTATGTTGGACAATCTTGTGAAACTGCATTTTTGCAGTGTTGAGGTGTAAACGGCAAATATGTGGTTCCACCATTAATTCAATTATATATATATATATATATATATAGGGTTGGGTTCATGTGAGACCAAAAGTTTTTCGTGAGACCTTATGAGACCAATTTATGTTCATTGATCAACTTTTTAAGCTAATGATCTAATGGTCTATAGTTGCACGGTGGCAATTTTGTAATTATTGAGAAGGCTCGTGGCAATTTTGTGATTATAAATATTGAGATTGTAGATCTAATCCAAGGGTTGAGAATTGGTCTTACGAGTCTCATGAAAAAATCTTGGTCTCATATGATCTCAAGTCTATATATATATATTATTTAAATAAATTACATGTTTATTCTTTTTATATAAATTATTATATATAACAATTATCATTTCATTAAAAATGACTTTTTATATTATTTTTAATATAATTTTGTGTTCTTTGGTGTGTTTTTTAGAGTGAGACTGGAGTTGATATTTTTCTGGTGTTAATGATCCCATAGAATTTGATGTTTTTTTGGTGTTAAGGTTGAAGATGGTCTCAAAAGATTGGATACATTCTCAATGTATGTGGACAAAACAGACAATATCTGATATGGTTGGTCTAAGATGTTACAGTTGATATCAGAGCCAGATTACCAGACTGGTGTATCAGCGAGGATGTTGGGCTCCCAAGTGGGGTGGATTATAAGATTTCATATTGGTTTGAGAAAGAAACAAAAGTTACCATATAAGAGACTGAATACCTCATCTACCAAGACGTTTTAAACCGTGAGTTCAGGTATGTGTACAAAACAGACAATATCTAACACAGTTGACTTGAGATATTACATGTTCTTACATACTCGTAAAATAAAAGTATACTCGTTTGAATTCTTTCTATTACATATCTTAATTATTTTCATAGTAAACTAGAAGTCATTGGGATATATTTTAATGAAATAATATGTCGATGCTAAAGAATATACCTTTTTCCTAAAATGGACATCTCTAGTGCCGTAGTGCACCCAAGTGATTGTTGATGTGACGAGGGTAGTCTGGTCTTTCTACACGTGGATTATGATTAATGATTAATGATTAAAGATTGCAGATCGAATCAATCATATGATATGATATATACAAATTTAATGTGAAAGAAATTTCTTTAATTATATATACATAGAGAAAGAGAAAGACTCGGGATCATGTAAAATTAAGGGTTTTTCGTGAGACCCGTAAGACTAATTTTCAACATTTTGATTAGATATACAATCTGAACATTCATAATCACAAAATTGTCACGAAACTTCTCAATAATCATAAAATTGTCACCGTACAACTTTAAACCATTAGATTATTAGCTTATAAAGTTGATCAATGAACATAAATTAGTCTTACGAGTCATCCCATTGGTCTTATGTGAAATCAATTATATATATATATATATATATATGTGTGTGTGTGTGTGTGTTTGTATGTGTGACGTGGTTGTTCTATATTCATAACTTAGGGATGAGATTTGAAAGGAACATGTGGCAATGAGGAATTTAATACGTCAAATTATACGCACATGTATAATCATAATTTGTCACATTTCCATTTTTTTTAATCATCATTCCATCATTTTAATCATTTACTTCATTTAGTTATTTATTTAAATATACATCAATAATTTAAACGCTTTTTTTTTATATTTAAAGTCAAAATATAATAAAAAGAACCCAAAAATTATCGTTTATTTAAATGTTTATCCGATAAGGATTTACTGTTAATAGTCAACGTTATAATTTATTTTATTGGGTAAAATTGTAGTACATCAACATGGTATCGTGTGTAACAATTTACCCGGTAAACACTAACCCGAGTAAAAGTCGTCGTTCTCACTTATCGAGTAAGACTCTTCATCTTTATCATTGCTCTTACCGGATAAGATTTTTGACTTTTGCTATATTTATCCGGTAAGGAAAATTACCCGATAAACACTTTCCGAATAAACGTTTAGTAAACGGGCCCCTTAATCATTTTAATATATATATATATATATATATATATAATTTATACTATATATAATTTTTATATTACCTAAGAACAATTTCAAATATAATATTAAAAGTAAATTACAATTTCCATCCTTGGTGTTTGTTAAAAGTTTCGATTTTATTCCCTGTGATTTCAAAATTACAATTTTAGTTTCTATGGGTTGCTATTAATTATCTTTGTTCTTGAAGCCAACTGCTACTTTTAGTTAGGAGTCGCATAAACCAAACGGAATTATAAACTAAATGGATGAAAAACGAAAAAAAGAGTTGTAAACTCACATCGATGAAGACAACAATAAGTTTACAATCAAAGGGACAAAAACCATATTTTAAAAAACACAAGGACTAAAATAGCCACTTTTAACAAACTATAGGGATGAAAAATGTAATATATTTTAATATTAATAAATATTAAAAATATCACATACACATTTTATCATTTAATAAACAGTATTTTATTAGATTACATAAAATAACCTTGTGATGATATAAAAAAGAAGATTTGTATATGAATCTATTA